CTTCCCCAGCCCCTGGCAACCACTGGATCATATGGGAAGACCAGAATTGCTAGATCATATGGTAAGGCCTAAGTATTTTTTAATTTCATAAAATGAATAGAATATACTGTCAAAATTTAGGAAGACAAACTCTATTCCCTTTAGTATATAAATGGATTAATTATGTAAAAACAAACAAAAAACAGCTACCAAAGATGGCAAAGATCCCATTAGACAGTTGATCTCAGAATGGAGCATGACAATATGGTAAAGATAACCACATGGTTATAATGTTTTTTCCCAGTTTTTGACCTTCAATGAACTACTTACTTTATTTCTTTTGGTATCCTCTGTATTGTCTCTAAAAGTTCCCATCTTTAGAATTTTACTTTCTGGTTGTCCCTTAATTTTAGGCTGTAAAATTGTTGAAATTACAGAAGTGAAAGAAAACTTTAACTTCTCCTCAACATAAACCTATCTGTCACGAGCTAATACAACCAAATTCATGAGACTAAAAATGTAAAAGGGAAAAAAATGAGACCTCTGAAAAGTTTATTCTATTTGATTGTCAAATTCAAAATACCTCTGAGTCCATCTCAAATTTCCTAACACTAAAGATAAAGAACTAAAAACTTTGATTTATCAATGAAAAAAAAGACTGAAAATCAGGCTGGGCGCAGTGGCTCACGCCTGTAATCCTAGCACTCTGGGAAGCCGAGGCAGGACGATCCCCTTAGGTCAGGAGTTCCAGACCAGCCTCAGTGAGAGTGAAACACTGTCTCTACTAGAAACAGAAAAAATTAGCGGAGTGTGGTGGTACGTGCCTGTCGTCCCAGCTACTCAGGAACCGGAGGCAGGAGGATTGCTTGAACCCAGGAGTTTAAGGTTGCTGTGAGCTAGGCTGATACCACAGCATTCTAGCCTGGGGCCGGAGTGAGACTCTTGTCTCAAAGACAAACAAACAAACAAAAAACAAAGTAGATTGTGAAGCACAGGTTCTCAATATGAGGCCAAGTATAAAATGCTAATCATTAGCGTATATTCACCATGACTCATGGCCCCATTTTAACACTATTCCTTTATTTAAATACCATATGATTTTGGTTACTTTGAAAGGGATTGTGATCTGAAAAAATTTAAAATATTACAAGGATGAAGAGATTATAGAATTTTATACAGACCAATATTCAAAAATGCAAA